CATCATCATCATCATCATCATCATCATCATCATCATCATCATCATCAGGAGGCAGTAGTGTTAGCCTTTGTCGTCTGACGGACATCCAACAATTCTGCCCTCCTCCCCCCCCTCGCTCTCCAATGCTTGCTGCTCCACGGTCACGCTTCGTCACAGACGACTGTTCCCCCTTGTTGACCTTAAATCTTTTGACCACAGTGTCGACCCCTCACTTTGTTCGTTGTCTGGGGGAGTCTTGTAGCCGACGCCCGATATTGCTTTTTCCGGCGTCCTTGTTCAAGGCCAGCTGCCTCAAGGTCACCCAATAATACCTCAGTCAGCGCTGACCTGCAGAGGCTTGGCCGGCTTCCAATCAGACACACACACACACACACACACACACACACACACACACTAGTGCGTGCAGGTTGTCGCGGCTGCCCAAGCGCCACTCGAACATGTCCCTTTCCCCCACCATTCTCCGCCGACAGAACCTATGCCACCAGACACGACACTCCTCGGGTACTGTCACACGTGCCAATTGGAGAACACTTAGACCTGCCCCGCAGTCCTACCTAAGCAGCTGCCGACACTATCAGGTCTGTCTTGACGCAATCAACACTATCTCTGGCTTTGCCAGTGGCCACCGCCACTTAGGAAAGCAAAAGAGACTTCTGTAGACAATAAAATTACTCCTTCTGGTGATTTCTGCCTTTTTACCTCCACCAACCTCGGATTCGACCTGATGGTTGTAGTGATCTAAGCACCACACACTGCTTAAGACTGCTACAGTGGATCCTGTTAGTTTTCTGTGCACTAATTCCTGCTTCTTGGGTGGGGGTTCGGTAGCTGACTTATTGCTTTATTGGTACACGTACACCTTCATTTCCCCCTATCTAGTCTCTAGTTATGACTACAATCCGACCCATTGACCCCTGAACACCTCCCCCCAACCTTACTGATTAGTTGCTTAAACTTTTTATTTACTCTATACTCCCTTCTATTATTGTAATGACCTGACGATGCATAATCGAAGACGTACGTTCGTTTAACTTGACTTCCTACAACTCCCTCATATCAATATTGTCTGCTTGATGTGCTTGTTGCCTCACTGCATGAAGTATCGACGTCCGCAGGTGGAGAATTTCATACATGAATCACTCTGTTGGGAAAAAAGGCCTTGTTTTCAGTCTTGCTCCTGCCACGCATTATTTACGGGGATCTCTTCCTTTGAACTCGGCCTCAAACTGTTTCTTGACCGATCCACGGTGTAATAACTGTTTCTTCTCAGAGGCAAACTGAATAGAAAACGTTTTTACTGTCTAAGCGACTGCCTTCTAGTTCGGAACGCAGTAGTTCTGGAGCCGATTAAACCAGGCCTGTTCTCTCGTCAGAAGAAACCGGTAGTGTTCGCTTTTGCTCTTCTTGAGTCGGGACTCGGTAGCTGACCTCTGGCTTTATTTGTGTACGTACACCTTCCTTTCCTCCCCCCAGGCCTTCTGAACGATGAACTGTTGCCTCTGGACTTCCGCCAACTGATAGAGCTTTGCAAACGCAATAGCGGTTTTAGGGAAGGCCTGGACGAGGAGTATCTCAACATGATACTTTCGCGTGTGTACACAAAACGGAAGCCTACCACTGCTGACTCGCACACTGACGGTGGTTTGTCACAACAGACCAACGGGCAGTCGTCAAGCCCTCAGCAACAGAACTACTCACCGATGCACAGCATCATTTCTCAAGCCCAACTCCTGCTTACGCCTCTCGGAGATGATTTTACCTCAGAACCCTACATTATTCCCTGCGACGAGAGCAATCCAATGGAGACGGACGAAGGCGATCAGCCAGCTGACGTAGATATGCTTGAAGATGAGAGGTACGCCTACATAGAAAGGCTAGACTCCCCTCCTCCACC